CCGAAAAGCCAGAACGGACGGTCTGTTATCAACGCGGACCGTCCGTTCCAACACTTAGAATGGACGGTCTGTGACTATTCGCAGACCGTTGGGTCTGGACTTGGCGGACCGTCCGTTCCGGACTTCTGGTCCGTCCGTTCCAGACTCTTCCGTCTCAGTTTTTCCGTCGTTTTCTCGCACGTTTCGTCCTTCCCTGCGTGTGTGACTCTGTAGGCTCATTCGATATAGCAGTATAGTCCGAAATCTCTATTCCGGATATACAAGTCATAGGCGGTCTCTAGCAAGACACTATGACTACCTATCTCGAATAGAGTTGGTTCGTGATCTTACGAACACCAGTGATGATTCCGGCTGATGATCCTTTTGTATCGCGATATGATATGTCGAACATAAGGCATGGACAAGCCACCTTATCTGATTCGACTGCTTTCTCGTTCACTGAGTTCGACTGTCTGAAATAGACGACGTTCGTCTATAGTGCGGCCACACATTTCTACAGTCTTGCTCACACGAGGGGCCCAGCGATATCTCTCTCTTTTACGAGAGGTACAAATCCCGTCTTGACTATCTAACATCCAGTACATGATTCGTTTCGTACCTGATACACGCCTTTATAGTCCTCCTGTTACGCAGGACGTTTGACGTAATCACAGCACGCAACTCCTCATGTTGGATTCTGTAGATATCTCAGGTCTTAGGATCCAATCATGGAATCGTCGTATGAGATTCAAGTCATGACGCTAGTCCATGTGACAATCTCATGCGGGTCAGTCCAGTATTCCGTTCTGCAACGAATACCTATGATTGTGATCGTATCCAATACCTATGATCATCTATGTGATCATCAATCACACATCATACTAGTCTTATTATGTCGTTATTCCCATAATGACACAAGACTAGGGAGTTTAGTATCATTCATAATGATACATGGATTTCATAACAGATCTAGCATGCAGGAACATGTAATGAACAAAATACTCTCATAAAAAAACATATAAAAAGTATCAATACATCGAATGTATCTGAACAAAGCTTATAATCAGTACATCATAGAGCACTAAACCAACAGTGTATATAAAGATCACATGTGATCCGTTCAAAACATATGGATTCAGAAAATAAAGGCATGGTTTAAAGAAAAACGGTAATTTATAAATCGTACGGGGTATACATAATTATTATTGTTTTCGTGATAAAAATTTGCGATTTTTATCCCATACATATATAATACTGCTACCGTTTAGATAAATGGTATGATATCATATTTATGTTTCGATGCCCTATATATGGTAATAATTTATATAAAATGTCATATTAATATGGGTAAACATCAGTTATAGATATTGTACATGTGATCTTTACCCATATTGCACCCTGATGATATGTATAATGTTGTATGTACATACTATCTGTGGATAGGGCTACGATTGTTTTGATGCCCTGCTCTATATATAAATTATTACCAATTGTTGCCATTTTGTTATATTATATGGTAAATACAGTATTTCTCCGAATGGTTGAGTCAAAAAGTCACAATGTATTACAATATAGATATGGGGTATCGATGTATACCCCGTACGATTTATAAATTACCGTTTTATACATATCATGTGTTTTATCATATAGTATACACTCGTAGAGGGAGTTTATAAAACGTTATATAACATTATATAGTTTTAGACATGTTTAATCAATTTTGTCCCCGGTACATATCTAACATACTAAAATTGACTGAGTAATAGATATTATATTCATGTATTACGATTTACTTGGTATACATATATAGTACCATATATGTGTATACCATATTATGTTGTAGCATCCAAACTACACTTACCAAACACCTCGATTTTATGTATATATGTTTAATATGACATATACATAAAAACATGTTATATTGTAATATGCTTATAAATATATTTACACAAACTTATATCAAGCGTATACAAAATTGTAAATCCAAAAACGTATAACTAGATATATGTCTAGTTATAAATAATGCACAATGGTATGGGTATGTATAAACATTAAAAAGTCCATGTTTATGGATGTACAAAAAGATACTATTTGTATATGTATTTGTTACAATCATAGTATCTCTCTAATTATGTTAAAACATGTAAATAGTATGTTTATTATGCAAACTACAATTCATGTTATGGCACTTATCATATGATGTACCAAAACACGTCAAACATGTTTATAGGTGTATGTATAAATATGTTGGATCCCATATTAATTGTAATATGGTATACATAATTAGGTGCCGTAATATGATATACGTAAATATGCCATGTAAATCCTTGCACCCCGTTATAATTTGATGATATATGGGGGCTATATATGTCTCTACGGATACCCATGTATGGTATGTGCCTAAAACCCGTAGATGTTTTGCGGAAGGGTATTACATAACATGGACGTAGTTTGTGATATACACATATATATGTGAAACATGCGCTCCAAACATGTTTTAGAACACTTCCTTTTGTAGCATCACTAACCGTGAAAGGATAGTCCGAACATGTTTTAGACATCATAAACCATCTCTACAATATGTTTATGTTGAGGAACCGAGCTACATATCCGAAAAACTCAGCAAACCGAATCGGAGAAAGATAACACGGCTTTCTTGAGTAACACTCAACCTAACAAAGTCTCTGGAGCAACAAGAAGGTTTGAAGGAAGACATTCTGATACGTGTGAAGATCCTCCAGACACATCATGCCTTGATTGATTCTGGGAAAATGACAAACTTCCTTTTGTTGTTATTATCAAATATCCTCATCACGTATTTACCTTTTCTGTAGTCTAGGAATAGCCTATATTATGTGTACTGCCTTTTGTAAAATATATCAAAGAAAAGGAAATAAGTTTCTTGGGTTGTTTTTTTTGACGAACATCTCTTCTTCCATCTTCGATCCTTTCCTCTGTTCAAGCTTTGTTAATCTTAAATTCTTTATGGTATCAGAGTCTGGTGATCTCTTCCGTTTTTTATTCGAATTTCACCTTTCTCTTTGTGTTCTTCAACGACCAATTTTTCCACAGCTTCGTCATGGAGAACAAACCGATTCCGATAACCTAAATGGGGAAAACTACTTTTATTGTCGAAGGCGGCCAAAGCTACTCTTAGTAGCAAGGGATTGTGGAATCATATCACCGATGCCGAAGGTTCTGCTCCCCCTCCACAGCTTGAGGCCGAAGGAGTGGCTCCCGCAGTCGGACAACAACCACACCCACGACTTACTGGCACTACCGAGGAGAAAGCAAAGTGGTACCAAGATGATCAAATTGCCTTGGTCCTTTTGCAAGGTTCACTCGATCATAACGTTCTCCAATCCTTCATTGCTTTTGAATCTGCGAAAGCCTTATGGGACGCACTCAAATCTGTTTACGGTAATCTCTCAAACATATGCCGTATTTATGAAATAAAAAAGAAACTATCACAGTTGCAACAATAAGGACAGCAATTTAACAAGGTTCAAGGCACTTATACGGCTCTTTGGACCGAACTTGAGGAGATCCGTCCTGCCTCTGTGGATCTCAAGGTCGCTATGGAACGCTCCGAGGAAGACAAGGTGTTTGGCTTGCTTCTCACTCTCGACGCATCGTACAACAACCTGGTCTATCATGTCTTGCGTCAAACCAAGTTACCGACATTCGCCGAGGTATGTATGCTGATACAAAGAGAGGAGAGTGGCCGAAACTTACTTGCAGGTCCACTTGAAATGGCGCATCTCACTCACCGACATTTGCCGATCGCTTCGGCGTCAAAGGAAAAACATCCGCCCATGTGTGATCATTGCAAGAAGGCTGGACATACTACAGAGCGATGTTGGATTCTCCATCCTCATCTTAAGCCAAATCGGTACAAAGATGCTTCCTCTTCTAAAGGTGCCGCGATGAGTGCCGGCAACACCATTTCCTTCACACAAGACGAGTTCAAACAGTTTGTTCTTTCCTTGAAAGACAAAGAAAGCGGTAACTTTTCTAATCTCTCTTTACCTCATATTGTGATCGATTCCGGCGCCATCACACATATGTTTCGTGATAAAAACCTGTTCTCTAAACTTGTTAAATCATACGGTATGGTAACGGTTGCAAATGGTGAGTATGTTTCTATTAAAGGCCATGGTTTGGTTAGAGTGTTTGGTAAGGAGTTTTCGGCATTGTACGTCCCTGAGTTTAGCACTAATTTATTATCTATTTCTAAGCTTGTTCATGACACCGGTTGTCAAGTTATCTTTGATTCTAATGGAGTATTTTTTCAGGATACTAAGACGGACACTACGTTTGGCAAAGGCATAAAGCATGGCAACCTCTACTTTGTTGAAGATTTGCATTGTTTTTCCCATTCTATGTTTCATGTTTCACATTCGTTATGGCATGCTAGACTAGGGCATCCTCATAAGAAAGTCCTTCGACTACTTGTTCCAAACACCAAGGGTGATGTTGATCATGATTTTTGTGAGGCTTGTGTGCTTGGTAAACATTGTCGCTCGGTTTTTCCTATTTCAAAGACAGTTTATGATAATGCATTTGATTTGGTTCATTCTGATGTTTGGACTTCTCCAATTTATTCACGCGAGAATTTTAAATATTTCGTCACTTTTATTGATGAGAAAACAAAATATACTTGGCTATACATGATGAAAAATAAAAGTGACGTGTTTGATATATTTACAATTTTTTCCGCGTTTGTTACTAACCAATTCGGTACCAAGATAAAATGTCTTCGCACAGATAATGGCGGAGAATACACGAGCCATCGATTTCGGGCTTTTCTTGATTCCCAAGGCATAGTTCACCAACGTTCATGCCCAAACACCCCGCAACAAAATAGCGTAGCGGAGCGCAAAAACCGACACTTAATGGAAGTAGTTAGAACCCTCCTCTATCACCGCAATGTACCGATAAAATTTTGGAGTGATGCGGTGAAGACGGCATGTTACCTCATCAATCGTTTACCCACCCAAGTCCTTGATGATTGCTCACCGTTTGAGGTACTTCATTCTCGCAAAGAAATTTTTGATCATTTACGCGTATTTGGATGCGTGCGTTTTGTTCACATTGATGAAGGAAATCGAAATAAACTCCAACCGAAGAGTGTACGTTGCATATTCTTGGGCTACCCATCAGACCAAAAAGGGTATGTATGTTATCATCCCCAAACCAAGCGCCTCTATACTTCCCGAGATGTAAAATTCGAAGAAAACATCGGTTTCTTCGAACCCACAACTTGGAAGGAATTTGATCTGCTTGTTGAGCAAGGTACCGATCGTGACCCTTATCCCGAGCAGCTGCTGCAATCCTATCAGCGTCTTGGCCTCCAGCTAGATTCCACAACCTCATGCGAACCATCGCTTCCCTGTTCGGCTGGTCACGACATTTCTTCACCGGTTTCCACTTCTCCCGCTGGTCACGATGCATCTACACCTACGACGAGTGGTGGTAATCTGTATATTTCATCTCCTTTATCCTCTTCTCCCTTTAGACTCACTAACGATGCAGGTACAGCTTTAGTTCCCCCGCTTCAGGAGGAAAATTCGCGACACACTCCATTGGCCCGTGTTCCCCCGCCATTGTCCTCTGTGTCTTTACCACCTGAAACCGACATTCCAGACTCGACGTCAACCCCAAATCCCAACGAGCTCTCTTCTACATCATCACCTCCTACTTTACGTCGTGGAGCAAGGGAGAGAAAACCAACGTGGAAAATCCTTTCCAATGCAGAGAGCAAACTAGCACATGTGGTCCACCCTATTAATTCTTTTGCTTCTTTATTTGGTTTTCCACCTCATGCACAATCTTTTTTAAGTGTCATCACACAGGAATCTGAGCCGACATGTTATGACGAAGCCAAAAACTCTCCAGTATGGGTTCAAGCCATGCAAGAGGAAGTTGCCGCTCTTGAACGAAACAACACATGGTCTCTCACTGATTTACCAACCGATAAGAAAACAATCGGTTCTAAATGGGTGTACAAGATAAAGTATAAGAGCAATGGTGAAGTAGAACGTTACAAAGCCCATCTCGTGGCCAAGGGCTTCACTCAAAAATACGAGGAAGATTATACCGACACCTTTGCTCCCGTTGCTAAAATTCCATCTCTCCGTGTCATTCTTTCTCTTGCCGCTAATTTCTCTTGGTCTTTGTGGCAGCTAGATGTTAAGAATGCATTCCTACAGGGAGATCTCGAAGAGGAAATATTTTTGGAACCACCACCGGGTTACACGAGTGACAACCGTGTATGTCGACTCAATAAGGCCATTTACGGGTTGAAACAATCTCCGCGTGCGTGGTATCACAAATTACATGACGCCCTTGTTGCTCGCGGCTTCACCCGTACCCATTCCGATCACTCATTATTCATCCATCAATCCACCACCGGTAACATTGTTCTCTTGGTTTATGTTGACGACATAATTCTTACCAGAAGTGACTTGTGTGGTATACAGGATACGAAAGCATATTTGCATCGGGTTTTTGATATTAAAGACCTAGGCCCACTTCAATACTTTCTTGGCATTGAAGTTACTCGCGATTCACATGATATTTTCCTTTCACAATGCAAGTATGTTCTTGATTTACTCAGTGAGACAGGGAAGCTAGGAGCCAAACCCGTTCGTACACCCATCGAGGAGCATTTCAAGGATCAACGCGAGGGGGAATTACTTGAGCATCCAGAGCAATATCGTCGCGTTGTAGGTAAGCTTATTTATTTGACAATTACTCGTCCTGACTTAAGTTTTGTTGTGCACCAGGTAAGTCAATGGATGCACGCACCAACCACAACTCATTGGCAAATGGTGGATCGGATACTAAAATACTTGAAAGGAACACCAAACAAAGGCTTATGGATGAGGAACAACAACCATTCGGAGATCATTGGGTACTGCGATGCGGATTGGGCAGGAGATAGGACGGATCGGAAGTCCACAACTAGATATTGCACATTCGTCGGAGGGAACCTGGTCACTTGGAAAAGTAAGAAGCAAACTGTGGTTGCAAGGTCAAGTGCGGAAGCCGAATATCGAGCTATGGCGAACACAACGAGCGAGATCATATGGCTGAAACAACTCTTGCATGACCTCGGAATTGATTCACCGAACCCGATTCCACTCCACTGCGACAACCAAGCAGCGCTTCATATAGCAGCCAACTCCGTATTCCACGAAAAGACGAAGCACATTGAAGTTGACTGCCACTTTATTAGAGAAAAGATCACCAATGGTACTATATCTCCAATGTACACTCGAAGCCATGATCAACTCGCCGACATTTTCACGAAGGCGACTAGTTCATTCGTTCTAAACAAAGTACTCTTCAAGATTGGTCTTACCGAATATCGCCGACCAATCTTGAGGGGGAATGTTGAGGACCAACGAACCGAGCTACATATCCGAAAAACTCAGCAAACCGAATCGGAGAAAGATAACACGGCTTTCTTGAGTAACACTCAACCTAACAAAGTCTCTGGAGCAACAAGAAGGTTTGAAGGAAGACATTCTGATACGTGTGAAGATCCTCCAGACACATCATGTCTTGATTGGTTCTGGGAAAATGACAAACTTCCTTTTGTTGTTATTATCAAATATCCTCATAACGTATTTACCTTTTCTGTAGTCTAGGAATAGCCTATATTATGTGTACTGCCTTTTGTAAAATATATCAGAGAAAAGGAAATAAGTTTCTTGGGTTGTTTTTTTTTACGAACATCTCTTCTTCCATCTTCGATCCTTTCATCTGTTCAAGCTTTGTTAATCTTAAATTCTTTAGTTTAGGCCACGCTTTCACGGTTAGTGATGCTACAAACATAAAACCATGTTAAACAAATATGTCTTTATTGTAGTTTATGTGGATAACAAACCTGTTAAATCTGTGAATACCACGATTATACTAATTTGATGTCTAAACACTGTATGATTTATATGTATGTACATTATTATAAAACAGTGTGTTTTATGCGTAAATTGAAAATCGTATGTATTCTAGTAACAATATAGAATACATATGGGGGCTATATATTACGTGACACAGACATTTTAATTATAAACATACCGTACCGGTTAGTACAAAAGGTATATTACTTAGTTCTATATACCTTATGTATTACGTATATTAGGTGTGTAACCTAATAATTGTTACATTTTTATGTAGCTACAAATGTATTAATAATTACCTATGTGTATATAGTAAAATTATTTAGTAATCATACGTTACATTTTGTCTACGCTCAAAATATATGAGTTTAAACCCATATATTTTGCATACGTACTGAAAATCAGAGGTAAGAGAAGCGCAGCACGTGACCCCATCTTACATTTTCACGTGAATATGTTTGCGGAATTGTCTTCTTGTGCATTTGTGTTTTCCCTATCCTCATAATTTACATTATGCTTTTGGAGTGGTCTTTTTTGTAATGTTTGAGAAATTTAGAGCGCATGGTTGAGTCAAAAAGGGGAGTTTGAGTCCTTTGTCTTGTGAGCAAGGCATGGTTTTACGATTGTAGCATCACTAACCGTGAAAGCGTGTATCCAAAGTTATAAACTATCTGTGAAATTTGTTATGTCTAACGAGTATGCTGAATATAAATCGCACATGTTTGACCAAACCAGGGACAAATTTTGGAATACATGATCATATGTAACAAATTATACGATATCTTTTTGTAGTACACTCCGTCATGTATGGGTACCTAACTATTTTAGGTTAATAAAACATAAAATGACTATATGTTACATCTTTCAGATGTAAATAATCATGTGATGCTACAAACTGGTTACAAAATTTATGCACTCTAAACCTTGTAGAATATACACATAACTATATAAAACATAATAAACATATATAATAGTACTTATATTATAAAAGTACATATGTACGGATCCTACATATACGTTTATATGTGTAGTTATTATACAATAATTTTACATAAATAGAGTTATACAGTATGCCGTTGGTACTGTATAATATGCAAAAAGGATTATAAATAAGCAGTACATGTACCCATGGTTTGTGGTAATACCCCGATATTTAGATAAATAATAGTTTTATGTGTAATAGATCATAAATATTACAATTACATGTATAGGATAATTGTGATTACATAACAATATATTTTTTAAGTTATATAAATCCTATCTGTGGGTTTTAGAGTGTTTATTGTACGGGGTAAGTGTTGAAGCTATAGAAAAAATAAAATGCGGAAATAAAATAAGACAAATAGAAAGGAACATAATTACTTTTATTGCTACATCTCTTCTTCTTCTTATTGAATTACAATGAAAATGACTCAAATATTTATAGAAAAATTATAAGACGAAATAAAAAGGAAATAGAAATAAATAAGATCGATACACAATATTTGATATAATATTATGTCCATTATTATTTCTAATCATATCTTAAAATCAATATTTCCTTCAATCACATATTCATTTTTCTATTTCAACATTCCCCCTCAAGATTGATTTTGAAAGAATGCAAAAATCAATCTTGAAAAGATAATGTGAT